GTTTTTATTGATGTAGATCACTGGGTGTTATGCCCACAGACTTCGTAGAAGTTCCGTGCGGTATTCTGGGAATTCTCGACTTTACATTCACTAGTTTCAGTAGAACTTGTTACATTCTGAATCCCACACAAACGCATACACAAAGCTAAATGGGTCTCACAGGATCACACCATGGAGAACCAAATAGATCATATTTGTATCACGGATTCAGGATCATCAAAGCGTCCTTCAAAACAAAGAAGGGAATCTCGATGAATGTTATCCAGTGTTATGCACCCATCAATGATAAAAAAGACGACAATAAAGATCAGTTCTATGAGAGGCTGCAATCAATCATAGTGGAGTGTCCAAGAACGGATCTCATCATCCTGATAGGAGACCTAAACGCCGAATTCGGGATGGACAACACCGGATATGAAGATATCATGGGACGACATGGACTGGGCGAAACAAAAATGAGGGGAGATTTGCAAATTTATGTGCATTGAACAAATGGGTTATAGGTGACACAATATTCCCAAACAAACACATACACAAAGCTACATGGGTCTCACAGGATCACACCTCGGAGAACCAAATAGATCATATTTGTATTACTAAAAGATTTTGATGGTCAAGGGGAGACATGAGAACCAGGAGAGAAGCTGACATAGATTCGGATCACCACTAGCTAGTGGTTTCCAAGATGAATTTGAATCTAAAGAGACACTGGACAACTGGACAAACAGCGTTACAAAGGTTTAATGCATTTATCCTTCGAGATACTGACAAACTGAACCAATTCAAGACAACTCTCAACAACAGCTCCCAAGCCTTACAGAATCTACCGAAAGAAGAGGGAACTACGATGGACGACAACTGGAAAGGGGTCAGAGAAGCATTAACTTCAACGTGTCAGGAGGTTCTGGGCCGCAAGAGGCATCATCGTAAGGAGTGGATCTCTATAGAAACCCTGAACAAGATTCAAGAAAGGAAGAACAAAAAGACGGCAATTAACAACAGCCGAACAAGAACAGAGAAAGTTTAGGCACAAGCTGAATACAATGAAACAAACAAGCAAGTGAATAGGAGCAATAATGCCGACAAGCAGAAATACATGGAAAAACTAGCAACGGCAGCGGAGAAAGCTCCATGAGAAGGAAATATGAGACAGCTTTATGGCACAACGAAGAAACTAGCATTGAAATATGGTAAACCAGGGAGACTTGATGAAAGGCAACGAAGGCAATCACCGAGATTCAAAGACAGAGGAATAGGTGGATAGAGTACTTCAAGGAACTCTTGAACAGAGCAGCTCCATTAAACTCACCGCACATTGAAGCAACAACCACAGACCTTCTTATAGATGTCACTGTACGGCGCTCAAACTTCGAGAACTACTACAAACATCATCAAGAAGGTACAAATATTTATGAACAATTGCCTACACAACGTACTCAATGTCCGTTGAACACATACCATCGGCAACAACCTACTGTGCGAGAAAACAAACCAACTTCCAACTAAGCAGGAAATTAGAGAAAGACGTTGGAAGTCGATAGGATATCTATTAAAGAAATCACCACGCCGCATCACAAGTTTTGAATCCTGATTCCGGTAACATCTTGTTCCACAAACTAACAAGTCTTTTTTAATCGAGGGTGTCAACGTCCAAACCTCAACATTGCTCAGAATACCGTTATTGTATAATAGTGGTGGGAGGATGTGACCGCCGAAACATCTTTAAGGGCGTAAGTAACCTTCTGAGCACTTGTCATTCCAAACTTTAGTCGTCAGGTGGAATTACAGATCAATTAACACACTTGATTAGGACGTATATTTGCAGGACTTTAAACAAATAAATATTTCCGAAGTTATCAGCTGGCCATTCCACAGTAATTTTATGATTTGTAGTGAGATCGGAACGTCATCTCCTCCTTAGAAGAGACCTGACACAAGGTATGTTCAACATATAATAAATAATAATGGCGCGACAACATCGCATACAGAGTGTGCGAATGCATGAATACAAACAACCTTATACTTAAAAGTACTATGTTAAGGTTATTCAATACCACTTTTGTGTTGAACTATTTTCCTATACTATCCTCAGCTCTTGCAGCAAAATGCTTATAATGATTTCTCAAAGACTGGAAGGAGTTTTCTCTTTATAAACCTTCTTGCCTATCGTAAATGGATCGCCGACTCCACACGGTATGGATGAATTTATATGAATCAAGTCAAAATAGAAGTATTAGTAATTTAGTGTGGAATACTATTCTGCGTCTTTGACAATGTGTATAATTACTCTCAAATGAGGCTTTTGAAGTTCTTTGGATCATTTCACTTGATAATGAATTCCACGGCGGGAATACACGTGAGGATTGTTTCTCTATAGTCCAGCACACCACTCAAAACCTCCCAATGGACACTACAAGCTGATGATGCCAGATCAAGCGTCACTACTAGCTCATAGCAGGAGCTAACGTAAAACTATTTCCTTGTGTTAGCTACATAGTTAGTATGGATATGTAAACTTCACACCACAAAGCATTCCGACAAAGGATGTGATAGCTAGATTTATTTGATCAGTCCAATCAACTGAATTTTGTGATATGTTCTGATATATCATTGTCTAGTTGTCTCTATCTGTTAATCTTGCTCCACTATTCTGCTGACCTATAAAAATTCAAGATGCATTAAGTAATTGACGTGTTGGACGGTTTTGACTCATTTCAGTATAATGAAGATCAGACCAATCTTATGAAGACCTGAACTTATTTAAATGCAAGTGATGGATATTGTATTGTCAGCGTTATTTCTATTTCACAAAATCGCTAGTGATTATTTCGCCAATGTATGAGAAAACCCTGTATAATTTTGAGGTCCGTGTATGATATTTATCTAATGCTACCATAACTTTAGTTCCCTGTTGTCTATTGAACCGCGAACCATGTTTATTACTAATGTACATGTCAAGCAAATCAACGGCTGAAACATAGATTACGTGACTTTACTATTTCAGTTCTTATTTAGTACATTAGGCATCACTTAACGAGTTAGGGAAATTTGGCAGAACTGTGGAAATTGTGCTAACTGATGACTCCTTTTTACTTGATTACACGTTAATTACAACTTCTAAATATAACCCACCTAGTTGTGCTCATTTACTATTACCTGCCTTAAATTGTACTATTTCGGAAATCCTTAGTTTTTTCAAAAATATTCATCACAATAAAAGACTAATATATGAACGATGAATATTCTTTTCGATAAATTCCCATCAGGTCCTACAAATATATATTCGGATTAGTAATCCGAAAATTGGTCAGGTTTAGGCCGCGTTTAACGTTTAAAGTTATAGCATGCGAATTTAGGATTGTTTAACAAAATAAAGTCGTTAATGTTGGGATGATTCATATTCATCATTTACTTGAGTCAGCCAATACGTCAAGTGAAATGTTAAGATTCGTGATTAGAAAAAATATGGGTCGGACAGGGTGATAGAAATAACAGTGCAATTACAAATTATATCAAATGTTTAGCGGAAGACTATGTTGTGTAGAAGTTCTATGTGAAATCAATGAAGAATAATCAAGTGGGATGAATATCAAGTAAATGAATCATGTATTCGGAAGATTAATAATGACGTTAAACCAATAACAATAACAATATACATATATGTGAATAAATATAATAGAGAAAATTATATTTGACCAACAAAGTTTGTAAGTACATTAATTAAACTGGGTCATTCAGTAGCCAATATTACCACTGATTATTTATCACTATCGATGGCCAGGTTGGGATAAACAGTTGAAGATACTCCTTTCACACAGCTATGGCTTCTTATTCCGGGTAGCTACTGCTTCCGCAGCGTCGAATGAGTTTTGGATTGTTCCTCATAATCTCCAGATTAATATTTTGCTAGCTGCATCCTCTCTGGCTTGTGGAAGCATGAACTGGAATTTCTTGTTCACCGTGATTTTCACCTGGTCTAACCTTCGTGACCACATATTTGTTTAGAATTTTTCTAGGGTATCCGTCTCCCCTTAGGTGTATTACTCAAGGCGTTCAGCTCTTTTTCAACCATATCCGTGGAATATATAGTATGTATTCGATAGCTAAGAGTTTCGGTCAGGTTTCTTCTGAACCACAGAGGTACAAAAGCATGCAAATGTGCGTACTGTCCTGTCAAGGTATATTTTATTCTTTAAGTATCTTCTTATTGGTCCATCAGTTCATTCGGTTAAGAGAACGTTTAAAAGATTATTCTAAATCCGCTTTCTTCTTCAGATGTAAATTTAATGGTTAGGTGTACTTCAATGAAGTCAATTCGAATGCCACTAATTATCATAGCAGCATCCAGAAAACAGTTTATAAGTTTTAAAATCCTCTATTACTGCATACAGTGTTTTCAACTGTAATCTTGAAAATTCATCGAAAAGATTACTGTTGATGTTGTCACAGGTATTCAGTGTTTGACAACGCTTCTACCAGTAACACCTTCTAATATATTTCGTTCCCGCCCAGAGAAATCAAAAGACAGAGTCGAGGAGATCGGAAGAGCATATTTGGCGATGACCAATATATTGGAATTCTCTGATCTAATCTGACTAGCGATTGCGGTTGATGTTGAGCACGGCGTTACCACACGTGATCTGGTGCGGATGCCTGACCGAGCGCCTTCAGCTAGATGAGTCCACTAAAACATATGGTCAGCATCCAATGTCGAAAACTTACAGAGCTATTTATTTTGGGGATTTATTTACCGCTACACTGTGATCCAGTGTCCTTGATATTTTCATCATTTCAGTGACTTTGTATTCTTCCCATTTCATTTATCTACATGATATATTAAGTTCCAAAAAGGGACAGATTCACAATTTCCGAATTAGTAGGACAGATCACGTTGGGCTCGCCTTCAAAAGTGCCACAAGCATTCAGAGTTTGACAGTACCTTAACCAATAACACATTTTGTTGTTAAAATGTTCCAGCACAGTCAAATCAAGAGTTAAATGAGAAGAGGTCCGGAGATATATTTGATAGGCTACCGATATATCAAGAAGTGATAAATCTAAGCTGGTTAGTGGTCGTAGGAGACGTGGAGCACAGCCTTCTTTATCGTGATCTGGTGCGGATGCGTAACCGAGCGCCTTCAGCTAGTTGAGTCCATTACAAATAATGCGTCTGCATCAACGGTCGAGGGCTTACAGAGCTATTGATTTTGGGATTAATTTGCCTTTATCGTGATACCCTTACCTCTAGATCATGCTTATAAAGTCATATTAATGAAGAACTAATACGAGGCCTCGGAATCTGAACAAATGTGAAATCTTTGTCTTTGGTTTTCAATTTGGTATTAAGCGAGGGAGTTTCGACATTTTCTAGGTCACTTTGATATTTGTTAACAGTTCTAAATGACGAATTGAATGTCCTCTAGTTTAAAGTTATGCAGAATGCTCACTTCATAGTTAGTCGTGCCATATTAAGTTCTACTAAGGACACATTTCGACGTTGCCTTAACTTGTCTACCAAACATTTATTTACTACGCCTTACTTGGTCCATAAAATCAGGATATCACGTCACACTCGCATTGATTTATTCAACAGGAATTTTAGTTCTTCAGGTCCCAAGAGTATTACCGATTCTCCAGTTGAGAAGATCAATGCTAAAGGTAATAAAAAAACTTATAATAACTAGTTGGTCAGTGGTTCCAAAAATTAAAACAAGCTTTTCTTATGATGATTCTGTCAAGTCTGTGAAGTATATCACACCACTTAGAGCATTACGAGAATATATGCTTACAAAACAGTAAGTTTCAAGTCCCACTCGAATTTTGTGTTGTTAATGCTTGAAGTGATTTAGATCAGTTACCACGTTATTACAGCCGAAGTCCGTATGGCAATGAAACTAAAACTCTTGTTTTCCTCCGATCAGATGTAGAGCAAATGTAATTCATCCAAATATCTAATGTTTCACTTCAAGGGCTTACGCAAAGCACGGAGGCCATGATGATTTTGAGTTACGACGGAAACTCATGAAGGATATGGAGCGAAGAACCAAAACAGGTAGGTATATAATTGATTTTCATGATCTCTTAGAAATCTTCAATTTAAGGAAGGCCTTAAAATACCTTCAAAACTCAGCAGAAGCCAAGGCGACTGGGACTTCGGTACGTCACTTGTCACTTCGTTGATATTAATTGGTGTTGCAAGAACCGAGAAAAATATTCAGTATTCTCTATTATTTTTTCTTTTATTTATAAACAAGGTATCTTTACTTGCGGATTCCTTGTGGTCTGCTTTCAGTTCTCAAGCGTAATTCCTGTTTTTTTTTGAGTTCAGTATAACTAGCCTGGAGCGATTGCCTAGTAGTTAAAGCGTTCGGTTTAAAACACTAAGTACCAGGTTCGAACCCTGCTCCATCTACTTCGACCTGGGCGACCGGTTAGTATCATTACCTCTTGCCCTTAGGCTGTAGTTCTTAACCAGGCATTTGGTGGATGAGTTAGCTTCATCCTTATTTTTGTTAACTTGCAAGCACTTGCCATTTGACTTCATAATTCCAATTCGCTAGTAAAGTACATGCCACCAATAGATGACTTTACATGTATTGCATTGGGCGTTTAAAAAAAAACAAAAACTGGAGAATCAAGTCACTTGTGATTCTATCACTTGTTTTTCCCTTCTCTAACTATATTCATTGTTATCTAAATGTTCTTTTACAAACTGCACAGCTCTACAAAAAGCTGCATATTTGTAGTCCTACTAGTTATCGGCTTTGATGTATGAACATGATAGTTGTGTTAATCGGTATCGTAACCCTTCCAACTTTTGCCAAGGTTTTAGTAAAGGATATTACTTAATATAACTAAACTCTAACTTTTTTGAGTTACTGTGCAAACTCGATCTTCGCCGCTTAATCGAAATATCTTATCCCTGTTTCTATGATTACGGCATTATCATGTAATCGTAAATAGTATTTTCAAATATTTAATATATTTTTCTGCTACAGGTTTTTATGGATAAACGGAAAAGTTTGTTTACGTCGGGCCCTGGTCGTGTTGTTCTTTTCGCAATAGCAATGTGAGTTATTTAGATAATTTCGACTAGCTCATTTGCTTACTGAATTTTGCAAGACTGTCTTAATTGTAACTCCGGCAGCTGTACTAACCTGTGATTGATTTTAACTGAGTCGTTTTAGAGACCATATGAAGGTTTTCCTATTCTGGAGCACATTTTTTTACCTATTAAATGGTTTTTAAGTGTTTGAGGATATAAAACCTACAGTCATTGGTTCTGGTTTACAATGGTGCCTACTTTCATGCTACTGAGGACCACCAGCTAATAAATCCTGGAGTTAGTGTTTAGTAAAAACGTTCATTGGTTCCTGGATTTTTAAACTTTGATTGCCCAAGGTGATCAACATCTGTTGCACATTCTACTATACTCTGTACTATGACATAGTAGTGTTATTATTATTTGTCATTCGAACAAATCAATACTGGTACAAGGGGGTAGCAGATACATATGCGCTACACAAATCTCATTTGGTTTGTGTGAGGGCTATAATACTGTTTGGGTGCCCAAACCGAAGCAGGTGGTTTTCTTAGGGGACCACACCCGTAGCCTTTTAATCTAAAGGTCTGATCCACAAAGCAGTGGAGCATCGTAAGGAGATTCAGTCCCATGGTAGCCGGTGACCAATAACTGGTTCATACGTCATTTGTTCCTTCAGGATTCTGGAGCCTATGTGCACCATTGGTTCGGAAAAAGGGTTTTCCAACTCCCCTAGATGGACTCTCCATATCCACCAACCCGGTTAAAGCACCGGACATTCGCTTTTCGTCCTCTCAATTCCGTAAACAACACTCCTGCCACAGGAAGGCAGTGAGTAGGACTTCCCTGGCAGGGGCTATATACGCGTGGCCATGTGAGAGCATTTCGAGAGGGAGAGCGGACTCTCTCCACTCTCAGCCGTACCAGGGCATTTGAGGGCACATAGTAGTGTCTGAAATAGAAGTAAAGCGAAAGTTTCTGAGTCATTAACATGGGGTAGAAGACTTATTCATAGAGTTAGTGGCTGCTGTATCAAGTTGTTAATATAGTGTCAACCCAAGTACAGTCCTCAAAACACACGAAGTAAAAGATTGAAAATATTCTGTTGTAACTCAAATGCATCTATTCTTCATTCCTTTGTAATTAGTAGTCATAATATTTTCCCTAAAAATTATTTTACACATTAAGTTACCTTTTTTTAGTTTATTTACTGTCAGATATACAAGCTTCTCCATTATTTTTAATCGCTTAACATAGTTGAATATATCCTACTACCGTCTAATGCAGAAATATCGGGTATAGAAGAGTACAGTAAAGCTTACTCTATTAACTGGAAAGATTATCTTGTGAATAATTAAAAATAGGACATTATGAAAAGGAAAAATAGTGGTAAATAACAAAGTAAAAACATAGCTAAGATAGATTTTATTAATATTACTGTTTACTAAGAATGCGATAGCAAAATAACAATAGCTAACGAGTCCCATTGTATACGTGGCCATATCTATGGATTTTTGACCATATGTAACTACTTTTGTACCATTCTAACTAACACTAAGAATACGGCTATATTTATCTTCGTTTAGTGGAATATCTACCCGATGGTATTTTTTATTGTAGTTTTACTTGTGTTATATACAGACAAAGAATAAATCAATGATAACTTCTAAGAATTATTTTTGGACTATTATTACATATATTCTTATTGTGTGACCATTAAGTAACCAGATTATGCATATGTTCATATTGCTTTTATCGTAAGCTTTCATTTGACCTATTATCTATTACTACACAATTTACTATTTTTAATTCATTCTCAATTTATTAGCCAAAATCTCCCATACTTACAGTCCTTTTTGACTTGACCTTGTATAATAATGAATTCTTATTTTATGGTATTATGCGGTCTGATTAGCTTACATATAAATCACGTGTGTCTAAAATATACGATTCATGCAGCGGAGGCTGAAATTTGTGTTCTGGACTGAATGGGCTGGGCTAGGCGAGAAGTTACTCTACAGGGGACCAATAAGGACTCAGAGTTGACTCTAGACTGTTCGTGCTGGTTAACAGATCATTGGCTTAGCTCAGGGACAAGGTCATATAGTTCGGTATTCCAATTGGCGATTTTGTCACGTGGTATTTAATGGGCCATAGGACATAACGTGAGGTGGTGAACGAGGTTTCGTATTTCGTATGGATAATTCGAATAGATGTATGTGCTTTATCTCTTTCACGTAGTATCTTCCTCAGCATAAGTACAAGTGTGTCATTAATATTTTTTTTTATTTTCGCTCATAAGATTATGAAAAGATGCCTGTTGATCCAAACATATTGAAAAATATACTATTATTCTCGATTGCTTATGTTATCGGAATTTGATGTTTATTTGGTGAATATTTTGAATTAGTTGATGTTACCTGTTAGTGGGCTGGCTTCCTTCTTGGTTAAAGTTTCTTGAGAGCACTGTGTCCTATTTTGTATTTATTTGTTTCTATTTATATTAATCAATTAGTAGTACTGTATATTCTATATTTTATTTCCAATAGAAATGGTCTCAACGTCGCTGCCAAAGCCTTCGGTTGGTGGTATACTGGTTCTAAAAGCATGTTTTCTGAGTTGATGCATTCGCTTGCGGATACGATGAATCAGGTACTCTTTTCTGTTAGTTCTCATTTTATACATACTATGTATCACTAGACTGCCTATCATAAAATTCCGAAACTTTTACAGTGGCCATCACAAAACGCAAGGGTTATATTTTATGTATAATCCAGTCGGACTTAGTAGCCAAAGAGAAGTATGTGTACCGGTTTTGGCGACAAAACCTTGTTGCTTGTGGTTCCTAGCATCAAGTCAACATGCATTAAATATTCAAACCCATATCTTTTCTATGTAACATTAGAAATACAGTGGTATTGTTTCACGCCTGTAATATTAATTACTATAAATTATCGTGGGGTGTATACATTAGCACAAACAATACGAAAAGAACGAAGCAAACTATTTTTCAATCCCTTTCAATTTAACTAACTGGTATTCTTATTCCTTTTAGTATCGTTATGAGAACATTGCCGTTGTCGTGGTGTTAATAATGTTCTTCTGATAAGCTACTAATAGGGAGAAACATCACAATTCTTTTGAGCTTTTATCTTCAATGAAAAACATTGGCACGCCCGGCGTCTTGCTAATAGAGATGGATTATTTTTAGTCACATACTAAAATTATAGTCTTTTCACTGTTTCAATATAATCTGAGCAATTCCGCTTTTACATGACTTCACTATTTGCTGGCATTTTCATTAGCATTTAACCACCGGAGCTATAAAGGTACAACTATCATCCATGAATTTCAGTTTCCCATAAGTTTATTTTTCAATATTTTGCACTTATACCATCTACTTACAAGAAATCTCAAGAATATCTTTAAATTTTACAAACAAAACGTGTTTTCGTTCAAGTAATCTAGTCATTTATCAAGGATTATGCACACATATAGAACAAAAATTAAATAATTTATTAAAGCTCTCGTCTGATTTGTTTTCGCACTTCATTGTGTTCTGAGCCTGATGAGATGATTTTAATAGCAGTATTTGACTCTGTTGACCGCGGAATTCTGCGGCAGTGTCTGTCATTGAAGGGCTTACCTCAGAAGTACACAAACCTTGTCAAGAATCTTTACTCAAACACTACTGGTTGAGTCAGGACTTATGGAGAACTGTCATCTGCTTTTGCAACCCCAAGTGGTGTCCGTCAAGGTTGTCCACTTTCTCCATTTTTGTTTAACTTCATCATAGACCTACTGATGAAAACAACGTTCTTGTCGACTGAATTTTCGGGTATTAATCTCCTACCAGGAGGTCCACTTATCGACATAGAATATGCAGATGATATAGTCCTATTTGGTAAAGATGCTATTAAAGTGCAGAGTCTTTTGGTAACACTGATCAACAATGCCAAAATGTTTGGGATGCGTTTTTCTCCTTCTAAATGCAGACTGTTGCTTCAACACTGGCCTGCGTCAACACCTGAACTATGGATAGGGAGTGAAGTAGTCGAACGCATTAATAACTCCACTTATCTTGGAAGTTCTGATCAGCCCAAATGGGTTGGTGTCTGACGAAATTTCAGCACGAACTCGGGAATCTCGTTTGGCTTCTGCCACCTTACGTCACCTATGGCGAAAGCGAGATATCCGTCATTCAATAAAAGGACGAACATACTGCGCGGCAGTCCGTTCTGTTTTACTTTACGGCAGCGAAACATGGCCTTTAAGAGTAGAAGACGCTCGTAAGCTATTAGTATTTGACCACAGATGCCTTAGAAATATTGCTCGCATCTGCTGGGATCACCGGGTAAGTAATAGTGAGGTTAGACGCAGGGTATTAGGGAATGATGGTAAATCAGTTGATGAGGTTGTGAATTTTCATCGACTGAGATGGTTGGGCCATGTGTTACGTATGCCTGAACACCGAGTACCACGACTCACAATGCTAACCGGTGTTGGAGATGGTTGGAAGAAAGTAAGGGGCGGCCAAACCAAAACGTGGCATCAGTGCTTGAAGTCACTAACTTCTAGTCTGAGCCATGTTGGTAGATGCAGACTACTTGGTTGGGGTCGTTGTGACTATCGTAACCAATGGTTGGAGACTCTTGGTGACATGGCTCAGCATCGATCACAATGGCGTCGGTGTATACACTCTCTATCTTCCCTTAAACTAAGAGATTAAAATTGCTTCATATCTTTCTTTCTACGAACTAATTCTTTCTTCATGTACTATATCCTTATTGCAATCTTTCTCCTATATATTACCACCTTTGCTGCAGTTGATTTTCTTTAGGGGTTAGCTGAAACTTTTATAATCTTATTTTCTTAGTATTCAGTTTTCACTGGCATCTTCAAACAGAGGACCTAATTTGTACGTAAGTAAATAGCAAAGTACCCAAATTAGTTTTTCAGTGATACGTAACCGACCAGTTTTCAGTTTTAATAACTTAAGATTTTAGTCCCAGAACCTTTCAAACCGTTTCTTCTCGTACATTTCAATTTTTGTTTAACAAATCATCCTTATTCTTCTTTCAAGTCTCACAGGCGCCAGCTTCATGAGTCTTATATTCCACTGATTTTCTATGGATTTCTTTTTAAGTTACATTGACTTAGAATTGTTTCACGTCAATTGTTTTTTATCAAACAGTCTTCGTTTATTGTTATTTGGTACAATAGATTAGTTAAGTGAGTGATTCATAATTACTGTTTTCTCCCAACCTTCTAGGTTCTCGTTGCTTATGGTCTATATTCATCACTTCAGAAACCAGATGAAACGCATCCGTAAGCTCTTTTCTTTTATTTATGTTCCTTTAGATGTGTGATTTCATTAGTTACTATGTATTTTCATTACTTGGTCTTATGTAAATTAGCTTTATGCATACTTTAATCATTAGTATTTAAACTGTTCAACAATAGGATGGACTACAATGTAGCTTTTAATTTGAACTTTGTTAGAAGTAATGTTTTTCAGTATTAACTCAAACAGCTTATTAAGTACGTCACTTTTTTACTTTTTTTTCGCAGACACAGTTTGACCATGTATTTCTCTTTACTTAGGTTTGGTACTGTTTCTAGTTCTGACAAATCACAAACTATAAGTCCATCAAGGAAAATCTCAAAAAGGTACATATAATTAATAACAAGATCTAACACAAACGTACGTGAATGTGGATTATCAAGTACTTCCTTGTTCGCCAAAACTACAATATACTAGGTAAATAACCAGAGAATTTAAGGCGTTCCTAGAAAATACATTTAACATCAGCTTAGCGAATACGACTACAATGAAGTGCAGATAATAATACCAACAATGGTTAAAAAATTGTAGGTAAGAAATAGAAGAAATGGATTCATTCGAGTAATCAGTCAGTCAGCTACAACGTAGGACCAGGCACATTTATGCATCGGTCCAAGTTGCCATACCTTATTAACACAACAAGATGGACACCGGATTCATAAAAGTAGTGGATTCAGAGGTGGTAATATATAAAAGAGAGATTGCAATAAGGATATAGTACATGAAGAAAGAATTAGTTCGTAGAAAGAAAGATATGAAGCAATTTTAATCTCTTAGTTTAAGGGAAGATAGAGAGTGTATACACCGACGCCATTGTGATCGATGCTGAGCCATGTCACCAAGAGTCTCCAACCATTGGTTACGATAGTCACAACGACCCCAACCAAGTAGTCTGCATCTACCAACATGGCTCAGACTAGAAGTTAGTGACTTCAAGCACTGATGCCACGTTTTGGTTTGGCCGCCCCTTACTTTCTTCCAACCATCTCCAACACCGGTTAGCATTGCGAGTCGTGGTACTCGGTGTTCAGGCATACGTAACACATGGCCCAACCATCTCAGTCGATGAAAATTCACAACCTCATCAACTGATTTACCATCATTCCCTAATACCCTGCGTCTAACCTCACTATTACTTACCCGGTGATCCCAGCAGATGCGAGCAATATTTCTAAGGCATCTGTGGTCAAATACTAATAGCTTACGAGTGTCTCCTACTCTTAAAGGCCACGTTTCGCAGCCGTAAAGTAAGACAGAACGGACTGTCGCGCAGTATACTCTTCCTTTTATTGAATGACGGATATCTCGCTTTCGCCATAGGTGACGTAAGTTAGCAAAAGCCAAGCGAGCTTTTCGAATCCGTGCTGAAACATTCGAGTAATGAAAAGTAAATAACTTTATCAAGTTCAATCCTTAGGAATGAATAAGTAATAAATCTATCTGCTTCATCGCCACCGTCTTTGTATCCATTTGGTTCGTTATCTCCTAGTTCACAGTTAGACCATATAGCTGTCATAAGAATAAATATCAACTACCTGGGTTTTTTATTCATTTAAGCAAAGAAAACCATTGCTGTCTTAATTATAATGGGACTATTTCCTTTTGAAGTAATTGGAATCTAGGTGCATTAGTATGAATTTCCGTTAACTTTGGAGAACTATGGCAAAGTATGGAATGCAGAGAGCAGAGCGAAGGCAATGAACATAGTTTATTAGTGTATTAGTTACAATTCAAAATAACGATCGATTCTCATGCACCGAAATTATTTGATCACCTATTATTATCTGTACATTTTAGCTATTTCAAGAAAAAAAACTATTACTGTGTGATAAAAATTAATAAGTTTGCTCATTAAATAATTTCTCAAATATAATAGTGGTAGTATTACACGATAAAAAGTATTAACCTACTTTGTTGCAATATAGAAGTACATGTTTTAGTTGTTTATTTCTGTGTGATTAAACGCTGACGAATATTACGAAACAAATCGTGTTAAAATGTCGTTGCTGATTTATTCAGTCTCTAACTTGATGTTCCTCATGAGCTTATTCTAGAGTTACTTTATGTGCGTCGTATTACTTTATTAAGTATAGTGTTAAAACAACACTAGATTTTCAATGGGAAATGTATTTCAATACAAGCTTCACTCGAACAGTCAGTCAGTCAGTAATAACGTAGAACTTCGTACGTACGTACATCAGTTCGAGTTGCCACACCACATTAGCACAGAGATGCAATGGTCGACTCAAATCCCCTAGTGGTAGAGGTAATAAGAGTAAAAGCAGTAATCGGGAAGATTAGTGTTTGGAGATGTTACTTAAAGAGTATAATACAGTGAAATAAATTTGGGAAGAGAAAAAAAAGAGACAAAGAGGAATAAAGAGATCAAAATTTGGGGAAACACAAAGAGTGGATGCACCTGCGCCATTGCAAACGATTTTCAGCCATGTCATTCAGGGTCTCTAACCATCGGTTGCTATCATCTCGTGGTCCCCAACCAGGTAGTCTACACCTACCAACATGACTCAGTCCACTTGTCAATGACTTCATGAACTTGTGCCATGTTTTGGTCTGGCCGCCCCTTGCTTTCTTCCAACCTACTCCTACACCAGAAAACATCGCACGTCGAGGAAGTTGGTCGTTGGGCATACGTAACACGTGTCCCAGCCATCTCAACTGATGAAGTTCCACTACCTAATCAATTGATTTGCCATCCTTACCTAGTACCCGTTTCCTTACAACTGCGTTACTTACTCGGTGGTCCCAGGATATACGAGCAATATTTCGAAGACACCTATGATCAAATACTAGTAACCTACGAATATCATCTACTCTTACCGGCCATGTTTCACTGTCATAAAGTAGGACGGAACGAACTGCTGCGCAGTAAACCCGAACTCGAACAGTACAATCCAAAATAGTGATTGGTAATGTTTAGTTCGCGATTAAACTAAGTTTTGCAGACTATTTGACTCAAAGTAGAATGTAATTTCTGTTTAACTTCTTAGTTGTAAACAGTTATCTTGTTATTTAAAAAAAGGAATAATGAGATTCAATTTTTTAGATTGTCATTTAAAGTTGAATCTAGTGTATTTTGTGCCTAAGGAATTGAAATCGACCATGATTTAATCTATTGATATCTTTATTACTAACTACAAAATGCCACTGTTACTTGGTTGTTTTTGTCTAATTTACCATATCATGATCGTGGCTGTACATCATTAAGAAATCCTTTATTAAGACAAAACAGCTATTTAGTGCTGTCTGTTTTTCGATGGCTGTCTAGATAATGCCACTGTAATGTGAACCACAAATTGGTAAATCTCCGCAAATTTTCTCTTTTGGTAATAATTTTATTCTAACTGGTTAATAGTTGTGAAAAGTATTTCCGGTGCTCTGGTAGGAGGCCGTGCTCAGCGGAATTCAGTCCAGACCTTGGTTCGGTCCTTATTAGGGTCGGGGATGTGCACTTCTGAGGAGTCTCGTGCTATAAAGAAACAGCTATTCTTTGGAATCTGATTATCAGTTGTCTAGCCAATGTTACTTCGTGGTTCAAACTAACAATAGCAATTTTCTTATTCACGATCAAGAACAGTCCGTTTTGAGATATTGTATAGGTTATTTTTCAGTTTCATTGAAAAGCCACTTTTCTTGCTTGGTTTGATTTTCCTTTTGAATATCGTTAATCTCAACAAAGTATTTTACAATAATACTTGATTATTAGGTACGGTTATATTCCAATGCGTAATGTATCATCGTTGATAAGTGGTGTTGCCATTTTCTTCCTGGGAGCTGGTCTTACATTTTATCATAGTGTCCAGGGCATTTTAGCGCCTCACGAATTTGAATCTGTTAATCTGGTAATTAGTTTTGTTAATGTTTTATTTTTGCAATAAATGAATAATTAATAAATAATTGACAGGATTTAAGGTCAATTATTTTAGTTTCACGTATGCTTCAGCTACATAAATGATCTGATGCGAAAATTCGTCTGTCTTTCAAACGGTGCTTATTATTATATATTAATATTTCATGATTAAAATATAATAGTGAATAATAAGATTCTTGTGAATATTACTTAACAGTAAAATATGGTAAAAATAGAGACATCTTCAAGAGTAAGATTTAGCAGAATTTTTTTGTAAATATAAATTCAACAAAACCAAAAGTTATGTAATATAAAGGGGACTAGACATAGAGCTATCGATATACCTAATTACTTGCTGTAAATTACATCGAAACAGAATCTGAGGCTCTCTGTCTCAAATCCATTGCATATTGTAAGGTAAGGATATTACTGACCTACCTTCTATTTTGATGTTATACAAAAAGATGCTTTTAAATGCGGCTACAAATGAGACCTCAAGTAACGCTACCGTTGTAGCCATAAATTCAACTGGGATATTATAAAGTCAAATATATTTAATTTTGGTCGAGCATGTTCTAGAAACTGAACATTTAAAGCGCAGTTATGAATGCCGAAATTAATCTTTAACTGATTTTTGTAGCATCCGAATCGAGCATCACATGTAATATTTGATTGTGAGTTGCACGCAAACTCTTCATTTGTAATACTTATGCAAATCTTCAAAAGCTATTAAACGTGAATTTTTGTACTGCCAAGTAATTAGATCAGTTTCTCATGTTTTGTATACTTGAAGAAAGAGCAGAAAATATGTCTTCACAGTCATTTTATACTAGCACTGAAAAATACTAAATCTACCTGATATGTTGTCCGTATACGGTTCGTAAGCCGACAAGTGTATAAATGCACTCACACATTTTTGTACTGTAAAGGAGCATGACTCAAAGAGAATAAATCTACAGAGAACCATATGTTCACAGCTGAGTTGGGAAATATCAAATCAATTGCAGTATTTATGAGTTAACTCATGTTTTTATAGATGAGATTACTTTAAAAATTACCAATTACTTATCCTTGCATTAGTTTATGTCTATCTCGTATTTTCCTTATCTAGGCTTTGATGGTCATGCTAGGTTCGCTTTTATCCGAAGGAAGTAAGTTGTTTTTAGGCAACCATTTATGATCATATATGATATGACTAGGTCTTCACAAAATTATCATTAATTCTATTAATCCTAATAATGAGTTGTTTTATTCATAAAAGCAGTAAAACATAGATTATGTTAGGGATGTAGTTGTGCAAAATATAATTCCTTTATTCTACACTACCGTCACATTTTCTTCATTGTGATTTACGGTTGGATTCCTCTGAGACATTGGAATTCGATGGAAACAGTTATATGTTTAAGCCTATTTAATTTTAGATTGATAAAGTTACAATAACCTAATCAAGTGTGATATGTTGAAAGACATTCATTTTTCAAACTACTGAAACTCATACAACTGCTTCTCAGTGCATACTGATATTAGTCTGTAAATCGAAGTAGCATATCTAATCCTCTTTCAGAGCATTCTAATCCAATGAAAATGAAAAGAATCTTGTGTTCGCGACAAAGAACTAATTACTTTGGATACTAGTTTTTGACATTTTATCAGTATGAGTTGAGAGAAGGGTGTTAAGTATTTATAATATGTCCAACTGTTTGTACGAAAACTGTTTAATTAAGGTTCGAAACTGATAGAAGGTAATGTACGCATTGATGAAATTAACTGGAGAAACGTTATTTGATATCATTCCCAAAAAATACTACAGTGGTACATACGATGTGCTTTGTTACTATGTTTTTTGGTAGTGGATTATCATTATGACATTTCTAGGGATCACAGTATATTTCAAATCTGAAATTTTCTATCCATATCATTTTTAGCAGGTCTTTTTCTCACCTTTTCTCTACCGTTTTAATTTATTTCCAAATTATCTCAACCTTTCTTAAGGCACCTTGGCGTTGGCTTATCGCGAAGCTAAAAGAAGTTCAAAACGTCAAAACTTCTATTCCGTTAGGCATTGGTTGTTTTCCGGAGTTGATCCAAGTACTAGTATGGTTTTATTAGAAGATTTGGCTGCTGTCATTGGTGTTGTTGTGGCAGGGTCAGCTATGGCTGTAACTGCTTTCACTGGACATGTTTTACCTGATGCGATTGGAGGGATTTGTGTTAGTGCAATTCTCGCTACAGTGGCTGGTCTGATCATACATACGAATACTGAAATGTTAATAGGAAGGTAGGTTGTATTATGTTAGCTGATAATAAAGAAAGACTTCACTGCTTGACATATATTTCTTTCAATTATTGTTTATTGACCGTTTATCCAATCTACATATGAATTTATGTAAATATTTGTAAAACTAAATGGTCTAAAATGCGCTGAGTTATTACGTCGTCTCATCTTTCTGACAAATTTTGTCTCATCATTGGGCCTAAATTTCATCATATAAGGGTAGGGTAACTGCTTCAAATATTTTCTTTATTAATAGTTTTACTGTAAAAGTAACTACGATCAGTGGTTTGCTTTAAATTTCTGTTATCTTAATCCTAGTCATTTTTCATTGTTCATTTGGTTTTTTTAGAAGTGTCTATATTTGATGTTATCTTAGTTACTGACCGCCCTCTGCTAATGGCTTACCTGCTTCGGTTTGGGCACCCGGGTAGTATCACAGCCCACACACAAATTGAGTGACTTGTTTGGCGCATATGTATTCGGTAGCCCTTTGCACCAATACTTATGTGTCCAAATAAAATAATATAAATAAAAATAGTTACCAATCACATACCAGTTTAATATCCCTCTGGAGCACTCAGATTGTGAAGTTTATTTAAACTAATTATTGGCCATTTAGAGTTCTATTCATAGGTTATTACGTTATAGACTAATCTTGGATTTCTTGGTAACGAATGAGAGTAAATATGGCCGTATTACATACAAAACTATCGTAATAAGCTTTAAAAATGTTTGGCACAGTAGTCTGTTAAGTCCTTGTGTCTTTTGGCTGTTAATGTGCATCTACAATTCCGTCAATTTAATATTTACTTCCTTTTCTCTCCTCACGTTTGCATGCGTTTCTTGGCTGTTCCAAGAGTTTAAAATACGCTATGACTAGATGGGAGAGTTAATGGTTTCATTATTTCCGACGTTTTGTTTGTTTTATGTCTTATTTGTCTAATATAGGTAATAGTTTCAGTTTTTAACTGTCCTTTGAATTGAGACTAAATTTCCTTTACATATGATTCTTTATATTCGTTAACTATGAATAGAGCTATTCCGGTTGAAAATCAAGAGGCAATTATGCGTGTGATGGATAACATAAAAATTATTCGCGGGACATACGACATAAAAACAACTATGATTGGTGGTGAAGAAATACGATTCAAAGCAGAAGTTGATATTGATGGTCGAGAACTTACTAAACGTTACCTAGAAACTTTATCATTAGACGATCTTCTTCAGGTAAGCATATTTATCAATAGTCAACTAAATATTACTTTTGAAAGAGTTTGTACTTCCATTGGTTTTCGAATGTTTTAAGCTTTTCTTATTTTCGATACATTTTATTAATCTAAACCTGAAAGTTCCATATTCAGCCTATATTAAACATATCAATACACTGATATTGTTTTAAATAGTGATCAGTAGATTTTGTGTTCAAATTTTCGTCACTTTTTACATCATTGTTTGTCGAATGATTAATTAATAGAAAAGTTGTCTTAACTCTTTATTGAGCGTTTTACAGGAAGTATGTTTTCTTTGCAGAAACATATACTGCTTTCTTTTCCATGTATTACTTATGCATTGTTAACAATTTCTTACACTGAGTGGGTAAATAAAAGCATTGATTTGGTAATCCAACTTCACAAAATTATACTATTGAAGTATTCCGAAGAATAAACAGGTTTCAAAAGTGAGTATACAATATAACCATAAGTAGGTTTAATCAAAGCGATGGTAAAATTGCGTTGTATATATATAATCAAACAAAACGCGTGATATCTGATAAGACGGAAAGGTTAATATCAGTAAGCAGCCATACAGTGATTTAGACTGCGAACAGTAACTCTTTTTTAAAATAATGATAATGCTATCTCGTGAATGAAATTTGTATGAGTTGAATGGATTCATTGTTATTTATCGTTAAACGACTGTCTTTTCAAGCACTTTATCATCAGTTCAAAGTGTAAGACGTAAATTAAAAACATCAAATTATTTTCTGTTCGTTATCAATTTTAAAAAATAGACTAAAGCAGCTCAAGTATAATCATTTTTGTTTCACTGTTCTCTTACGCGTTTACTTAAATTACTTATCTTATGTCTTAGAGGTAATATAAGTTTTTTCGTAGATTGTTTTACGTCATCTTTCTTCCTACTTTTTAAGTCCGAGGCTTATTTATGTGTTTTGTTTCTTTTGTCATGATATTTGTCCCTATTGTTACAATGGGCCTTACATTAAGATATCTCCAAGTTGTTTCAGCTTGGTTTCCTTCTTGTTAGAGGAAGCGAATTTGTTCATTACCTTGAAACAGCAGTCATCATATTCCAGAAGATTTATTTTACTTATCTAAAGCACAGATTTCATTTTCGTTATGTCGACGTTCAAAATTATGTCAGCCTGAATTTCAAAAGATCTGATTGAAGCGACTCAGTTTTACTTTTGCTTTGTAAATTTATAGGAGGTGAAAAATGTCAAAACTGAACAGCAACTGGCTCATTTTATGTTGAAACATGGTGATAATTTAGTGAACACACTAGGCGCAGAAATTAATAAAATTGAAGAGAAAATTAAGGTAATACACCTTTTTATTCAGTTTTCTATAATTTGAAGCAACCTTCGTCAGTGACTGCCGTCAGATAGTGAACCGTTAAAAACCATAATGGGCTATTTCTGTTAGGTTTGTTACTTACCACAAAGAACCCCATCCAGTATCTAGACTTGGATCGTCGTTATAAAGTATGTAAGTGTGAAACAGTTACCAACTTTAAAGCTCGGTGGTCTTTACTTCGTATTACAAATTGTATGAGGTCACAGGGAAGATTATAGGGAGATACGCCAACGAAGTTAACACACTCAAGAGCAGACATAAAAAAGCTTGGTTCATAAATAATTAGCAGCTAGTTTTGAAGTGATTCATTTGGATCTTGGGTACAGTTGCTAGGACAGCATATCATGATATTAAACTGACAAGTCATGAATTGCATCAAAAATATGATTTTATAACGTAATGAAATTAATATCATTAATTAATTAACTGACTAGATATAGTAAATCTGATAGATATAAGTGTTCTTTAGATCTCTAAATTGTCACAACCATTTTTTAATCGAAGTTTGTGAATTCAAATCATCTCTGCGCGTAAATAGACCAGTATCGATCTGTATCCATCTCTTACGATCATATATGTCCTGGCACCTATTTGTACTTCTTGTTTGATTGTGTTGTTAAATCACTAAAGTTGATTACTCTACTTCTTTTTGGTTATTTCTGTTTTTATGTAATAAAATATCTCAAGATACTTGATTGTAGGACATCAATTATTTGGCTGAATAGTTAATATCATACCTTAAGTATTCGTTCGTTTAAGGAAGATTTTCCACAACAGAACCGTGGGCGTCCCATAAAACATTGGGAGTTCGGTTGTATCTAAAATAATTTGCTGATAGAGTTTTTCTTTATGGTGACTTCATTAAGCTATAGGATTTAAGTTGCGATGTCTATGACTGGCACAAAAGTTAGTCCTTCCAGCTGACATGTGAAAATTAAAGATCGGTATATGTTTATGTTCAACAAGTTAAATAGTATGCGTCTGACTTCGAATACTTAGTTTTGTTAGCATTTCCCGGAGTGTACCCAAATGCAGTACAATAAAGTTGTTCATAATTGTATTTTTGTGTTTATCCCAACCTATCAAGAGGAGTAAATTACAGCAATAAGAAAGTCTTCAATTACCTTATAAGGCATATAACTTTCGCTCTCCGGATCCATCAGTTGGAAGGATTAGATTTTGTACCGGTCACATATATCGTAGCCAAATGTTGTGGGCAAACCAAGTCATCTTTCTACATAGAGAATGAAAGGAAGATCAAAACAGTGACTCGTTATTTAAGAGATGCCTAGAATGGTAGACTCGAAAGGCGCGTGCGCTGCTGCGACTCAATAGTTGCAGATATTTTAAAATAACTGGTAATTTAAGAGAGCTTAATCAGTCTCACAAAATGGGCAGTTATTAACACATTTCTAAGTAAAATCATTTCCTAATAAGATTGTCACCATCAACTTGTTTCTTACTTGAGTCGCGTTTAGAAAGTCAATCGAATTTGACTAATATATGGAAAGTAGTCACGTAAGCCGATCAGTTACTCTTTCAAGTCCAATTATTTTGCGTTAGGTTGTGTTTCACTGGTCAAATTTATTTGTTCTACAGATTCATTTACTTGCTTCCCTTTTGCGAAAATTCGGTAGAAATTACTATGAATTATTTCTAAGAATGCAATAATACCAATAGTATATTTACGTTGCTTATTTTACCAAATTATGCGTTAACTAATCTACAGATTGTATTCCATTTTTTAGAAGGAATTCCCCAATGTAACTCATATCGACATTGAGATTAACTAAATACTGGATTTCCGATTTATTATCACTATTCATTTCGCGGACTTCCCTTGTTGCATATTCCTGGCTTTTCTGTGATTTGAGATCCATATCGCACTGTGTATAGTAATATAAAATATATGTACACAAAAACAAATTTAGTAAACATTTTTGCTACGTATTAAATTCTTTTCCGGAAAATATGTTTAGTATGCATGCACTTTGTATTGCCTCGAAGTTATCAGCACAAAAAACGTTCATGATAGCGATAACAACACTTACAGCGTTCTCTACAAGAATCTAGTTCGTGATTTGAATTTCAAGTTATCTGCGGCTTCTGCTGACGTCAATCTAAATAATGATGATACCTAGACTTGGGAGATTGGTAGGTTCAAACAGTAACCAGCATGGGTGAAATTTGTGTTCACTGAACTCGAGTTTCAAAAACTTGAAATTGAGGCAACCTGAGCAACAATCAGTCTGGCGTCTGTATAAGGACTTCGCAGACATTCAGGGCTTGGTAGCGATTTTACCCGCTATATTATAATCACAGACCTTCAGGCGTAAAATAGTCCAAATTTATATTTGAAAGATAGCAGTATTTTTTTGTTATCATCAACTTTATTCAATATTGTATTTTTGGTACAATATAGAATTCTCAGCGCATAGTATTTCTTCTTGGTCGGTCCTGGCGATAAATTTTGAGTGATGGCCAGTTAGATGTTAGCAGTTCAGTAAATGGACATCTGAATAATGTGCATTCTTTTCGTTGTACATTGCCAGCGACCACATTGTTTCTTATTGAGATTTTTGTAACTTTGACAACGAAATGTTGTACACTTTTCAGAAACGTAGCAGAATAGGTTATGCAGTTAATAAACATGATGATATATTAAAACAAACAAAAATAGATATCTTGTTGAAATATGTGGTTGGCAGGAACAGATGCTTGAGCAGGCCGCTCGTTATTTCAGGAAGTGTGTAACATAAGCTGGTTAGTTGTCGTAAGCCATGCTCAGCGTATCTTATGTGTATGTGGTTCGGATGCAAAAGCCCCCACCTCGAGCACGTCTTGTAAAACTAATGAGGTTAGATTTAGTGACGAAGATTCACTAAACGAATTATTTTCTAAGTAATTTACCACTATGGGCATAACCGTCGAGTTGTTAGACAGTTAGCTCGTAACAGTATTTCAGAGCAAGTCAAATCATTTTTCAAGCGAAAATAATATCGAATCGATGTTTAGTAGTATGATGTTTACAATAGATAGCGACAACTGATGATGTCAATCAAACGCAAACATTTATTTCCTTAATTTAAAAAAAAGGTGCATCAAATTTATAAACAAGTGGGTTCGTATCCATTGTTGAGAAACATTATAAGTTCAATCTGTAGTTAAAGGTGTGGATAGGATTTGTAGCTGGCGTGAACAGTTTTGACTCAGCTTTGTGTTCTGAGCTAGACAGTTTTGTCGTGGAGCTTTAATTGTTATTCTGAATGTCATTATAGGCACAAACTTCAGATTGAAGTTTAGTGTTCGAAATTCCCTATATATGAAACAATTTGTCCTACCAACCTCGATCTTGATTGGCTATTGTTGACTCTTAACCCATCATCATCTGTCTCGTTATTTTGACTGCATCTCGTATCGATTTGATTCTTGGTTCTTTATTTGTCCATATTATTTCTGATTGGTTGATAGTTCAGATCGATCATGATGTGTATGTTGATTACTGATTGACGCGAGTGCCGAGCGTACAAAAATTCTCTGGTGTTTCTAGAGTTGCTTCTATCCAAGATCTCAACATCTTCTCGGTTGAATGTGTGTCTACAACTGTCCACATGCATTGATATTGACGAGGATACATCACAGGATTTGTCTGTTATTTGATGTTCGTGCAGATGAACGTGACGTGGGCGTCCATATTTCTCGGTGTAGTACTTTTCGTGGTTGTAACAACTGATTTTGTAGATGATGTTCTGTGCTGTTTGGATGAACTAATGATACCTTTGTACCTGTTGAATGCTTGATTTCGAATTCTAAATACAGTACATTTGTTTGTGGTTATCTAGTAATTCTTGATCTGATTACCTTATTTCTGGGATTCTTAGTCTTCACTATTATTCAAATACTTCTAAATATCAAATGTTCGGTTACTTATCTTCTGTCATCCATCCTTTGGTTTGCATAGGCTTAATTTAAGTGGTTTTGCTCGTTACTTTGCTACCCCTATTCGAAAGTGCCTCAGTAATCTCATTGTAATTTCTTTCTTTTGTATATGCTAGAATGTTCCATTTGTTGGTTTCTGTACTTGATTTCGTTCCCTCGGGTGAGGTTGGTTGGCGTTTTTTCATGAGATTGGTTTGATAGTCATTCTTTTGAAAGTTAGTCTTTAGAAATTTTTCTGTTTTTTCGCGCTGCAGTTTGTTGTAATATTTCCTTGCCCTCTTGCAAAATGTTTGTACTCAGTTGATTTTGTGACTCATGGGTTGTTGCCACTGTAATTGCGAATATAATCTATGTGAGTCGGCTTCCAATATACTTGATTCTTGTGTTGGTTTTTTATTTGCGTTTATTTTTTTCGTGTGTTTTCTTGTGTTGGTTCTGGTGGTCAATACACCAAAGTATGTTATTTCGTTGTTCGACCTTTATTCCATTGTGAAATTGTTTTATCAAAGACGTTCTTGATAAGTTTGCAGGTATTGTTCAACTTGTTTTTTTGACGCTTGCAAATGTCTCGCTCAAATAATGAATCCAAAACTCTGCCTTTATCACTGGTAAGATCGAGTCTTCTGAAGTCCTGCTATTGGTGATCCCATCGGTGTTCCTTTCGTTTGTTTTCAGAATTCGTAATTGAACTGAAAATATGTTGTCAGGCATAAACCTACGAGTTCTAATAAACTTCGACTTTGAAGCTTCGTTTACTTCGCGAGATATGTGTCTTTGGCAAGAAGCAGGAATAGAGTTTCCTTTGCTAAGCTTGGTTCAGTTGGGGTAAATAAGGCTGTTACATTGAAGTATATCATCAGTCCGTCGCTGTTGTTTTTGTACTAGAATTGTATGGTAGATTTGACGGAGTTACCGGATGGATCCATTAAAGGTTCCAATATTCGTGAAACCTTTCTTGACAAATTGCAGTTTGAGGTTCCGGGGAGTGCTCCAATAAGACGTGGTGGGATGTTGGGTTCGTGCGTTTTCGGTCTGTCGTAGAATCGACGGAGTACTGATCAAATGAACTTCATTCTCGATTGATCTTGCCACGACAAGTCAAATTAAAGCTATGAGATTTCAAATGTTTGTGTGCGGAATAGAGGAATTTTTCACCTAACTAGCTTCCGTGTCTAGTAACAGTGAATCAAAAATACCTCCAGGCGGGAACCTAGGTACATCAGCGACAATAAGGGAAATAGAAATTGTCCTTAAACCTTATGAATAGGTCAAGTTTCCTCTTAAAGGACTCCGCGCAAGCCGCTTGGACTAGTTCAGTAGGCAGAAAATTCCAGTGTTTGATGACTCTTAAGGAGTAGAATGTGTGTGTACAGTCCGTTCTGCTATGTTGTGTCTCTAGTTTCTGGGTGTTACCCCTTAATTTTGTGTTTGAGCTAAACTTAATTAAGAGTTTAACGGGATGTCCAAAAGTACTAGGGAGGCTGTAAGCCATCAGAAGGTAGGCTTTAAGGCGCCTATACTCTAATGGGTACAGGTTGAGTGAATTGAGGTGCTCTTCGTAAGGCTTGGACTTGAGTCCTCGAATTGATTTTACGGCTTTCCGTTACATACGCTCCAGGGTGTCCTTATCCTTTTGGAATGAGGGAGAAAATACTATGTCTCCGTACTCTGAATAGGGACGAATGAAACTGTTGAAGATTATGTGGAAAGCTCTACCGTCAAACTGGCCAAAAATGCATTTCAATGTTACCAGTGCAAGATTTACATCACCTTACCTTTTGACCAGATTAATATCCGTCAGTTTGTATACGCTTTTATTCTCAGACCTATGATCTCGGTTTTCTAGTTATGAGAGTAAATAAATCATAATGAACGAGTGTTGTTCATTGAATTGACGCGCGCTATTTAAAAAGGACAGTTGTAACGGGATTAAAATCATCATGTATGATGTTGTTAATAGATTTTGTTTTCTTTCTATTGCAGGGCAAGCAAGAATAAACGCTTTAGAAGAAGAAGAGCAAGCCCTGCACGCACTAAACTTACATGATGACTCATAAGACCGTTTGTAAACTAGCTCCCCTTCTGTACAGACCCCGCGAATTTTAATTTTCAAAATAAACGTCTATTGGCCTCCGTTCCTCGTTCTCTCTGTGGTGTAAAGTGTTCAGTTAACATTGTGTGTGTTGTGGCTTTAGGTTTTCCCGTCTTCCAGTGACTGCTGATTACACGTGTTACAACTGGTGTCGGAGGTGAGATGGAAAAACGCGATGAGAACCTAGACGAACCCCCTTTGATTCCAATCAGGGCTACTTCCAGTTCAACCCCGCATCAACCACCACTGCTCGAAACATCATCAGATTACTCCGTTTGGAAGTTTAAAGTCACAGCGTACCTGCAGAGAGTTCCATTATCCGAGCATTTCAACTACCTTGTTTCCTATCTGAGTGATGATGCAGTACGCAGGGTTATAGCGAACGGGTTTGCGGCCAGTAACACGCTCCCACAAAACTGGAGAATTCTGGACGACTGTTTTTCCCTGCCCGTGGACACCCAGCAAATGACAATTCAGTTTTTATCACGCCACCAGAAAGCGAACGAGAGTCCAGTAGACTACCTTCATTCCCTACAGCAAGTTGCGGTACAAGCATTCCCCCGGTTGGATATGATGGGACGAGAGGAACTAATTCGCTCACGTTTTGTCGAGGGCCTGTTACCCGGACCACTCAGAGAACACTTCCTTCGAAATCCACCAACGGATACGTCTGACGTAAAGAGAACAACATTACGCTTTCTGGCCGCTGACAAACTAACGAATGTATCCAATGCACATTCATCATCGGTAATGACTGTGGAACGAGCCACAAAATCTAGTGGTCCGGACACCTGCCAGGCTACAATAGCTGTGACCGACCTTCCCGGCCGAGGTGCTATCCGCGGACAGTCAAATTTGAGATGGAACAAACAACCAGCATGGAGAAATTACAATGGGCGCCAAGCCGACTGTATATATTGCAAAAGGTTTGGCAAGAACGCCAAAAGATGCGGTCACAACCGCCCCCGGAAACCAGGTAAGCAGTGTCGTTTACATATATCGTCTTGCTATGTTAAGCATTTGTGCCCTGTTACTATTAAGGGTAGAGTGCAAAGTACTGAGATTAATATACTATTAGATACAGGAGCTTCAGTATCCTTGATCAAGGAAGACCTCTTGCAGAAACTTAACCTCAGCACCCAGCGTAAACAACGCTCTTCTACGTTAATTACCGCGAGCGGAGAACCCTTGAAAGCATGTTCTCAGATAGGGTTAGAGCTGACGATTGACAAGAAGCCTTTTCAACATGAATTCTGGGTTTGCCCCACACTGACTTGGGACATGATTCTCGGGGTCGACTTCATGTTAAAATACCAGGTCTCTATACACATGAATAAGTCAGAAGCGAGTATTGGTGGAGTTGTCGTACAAATACAACACCATGAAATACCAACTA